ATAAAGAAAAATCCACAGGGAACCAACAGTGAAAGGAAGGAAGCCAAGGTTCGATTCAATGATTTTGAACATAAGGAAGAAAGAAACAATCAACCAGAACAGAATGAAGAAACAAGAACTCAAAAAAATTGGGAGAGAATAAGAAGACTCTGGGACATTTCCAAAAGTGCCAATATCCAAATCACAGAGTGCCAGAAGAAGAGGAAGAGCAAGAAATTGAAAACTTATTTGAAAAAATAATGACAAAACTTCCCTAATTTGGCAAAGGAAATAGATATACAAGTTCAGAATGGCATTTTTAAAATTTGCCTTATGTTGACCTATTGTGGATTTCCCATATTCATTATTTTTATTGTCTAATATTAGAAACCATTTTTTAACGAATCAGAAATGCAGATTATAAGAGTAAATATTTTACTTTAGTTTTATCTTTGATTCTAAACCACTGTATGAAACAGAAAATGGACTCTAATACTTACAGCCTGATTTTCTTATAGGAAAGGTTTTACTATTATTTACATTAATATTATTTTAAGAATCGATTTTTTTAGTTTACAGAATGTTGTCATATGTCATGGAAGAAAAGAATTGGCTTTATTATGGAAATCATATATTAATCTCAAGTTTCTTACATGTGAATTTATTAACTGTACAAAAAGGACTTAGAAACTTAGAAATGCATTTTAAGTCCCACCAAGCATAACTTCTACTTACCATTTGAACTGACTATACTTGAAATTCTTTGAGGGAGGGTAGTATAATGAGTTTTATTGTCGTGTGTGTGTGTGTGTGTGTGTGTGTGTGTGTATGGGGGTGTGTGTATGGGTGTGTATGTATGTATATATAATCAAAATAAATATATAGAACATTTTTTCAATCTATTACACAAAGATAAGCAAATGATTTGTTTTACTCTGTGTTTCTTTTTGTATTTTTACATTATTTTTAAAAGTGACTTTATTTTCAAAGCTCCAAATGTAAGTGTAGTGGGAGCACTCAGTTTAAAAGTGTCATTTAATACAACTATATTTTAATATACTTTTTTCACAATAATTAAATTACGAAGTGCATGGCCAGAATGTTTCCTGATGTGAAAAACTTGCACTACAAAGATATCATTTACAATCTGATTTATCCTAGAAAACTGACAGCATAATGGATATAACATCATTAACCTTGAAACCAAGACCTATAATTAGCCAAAGTTGACAAAGAACAAATGTCACTATCTGAAGGTTATCCTGAATATCTAGATCTGATTTCTGAAGGACAAACTACTTCTTTTAACACCTACCATCTAAGTGATCACAAAATAAAAATTATAAATTAGTCTACACTAAATCACCTCATGCATCTGTAGAGCTCTTTTGTTCTATGATAGAGAAATGACGAAGAAACGAAATATTGGATTACTCTTGATGCTGTCAACATGGTGCCTGATTCATAAACGTATACAGCCTAATAAGATAGTCATTGTGTTTTATTAACTTCAACCAGATTGACTAATGTTAATGCTCTCTAAAATGTGCTATCCCTTTATTCAATACAGGTGTTTCTAAAGTTTTTCAAGTAGGTGGTTTCTCAGCAACCCTGGAACCTTGAATAGTTTTCCCACTTGAGTAAATTAAACATATCTTCAGGTCACAGAAAAGCAGTTAATGGAATCATCTGACAGAATTTTAGGTAGAGATGCAGCCTTCAATTTATACTTCTCCAGTAAAAGACAAGAAAATAAATAAGTACAAATATAATTTGGGAATTTTTCAAGTAATGTAGGTTCATAAGAGAATATAAAGCAAGATTAAAATTTAAATGCCCAATATAAAAGTTCATGAAAGAAATAACATCTCTTGTTTATATAAATATAAATAACAAAGGTAAGAAGGAAGAAACAAAGGAAGGAAGAAAGGGAAGAAGGGAGAAAAGCTGTGTTAAAACAGCAATTGTTTATGGAGTGACTTGGCATAAAACATTTTATAGAGATAGTAATTGATAAATAAGAAATATTCCTTAGTTGTATGCTTATTTTACAATGTTTTGATAGTACCTCTTCTATTAGTCATATCTTCAATTATTTATCCATCTTTAAATATGTACAATCTTTCTATACAGCTTGAATTTATATTTGAATATCTTTAAGTAAAATATTATGGGTTATTTATTAAAATTAAAGCTTTGCTGTAACCATAAATTGTCTTCTAAAATGAACCAAAACATAAATTACACATTTAAATTTTTTGAATGTAATGTTTATGGCAGTAAACACAATAGAATATAATATTCTTAGACACTATCTGACAGAAGAATTGAGTTTATTCCTGAAGTAAAATTTAAAAAATTAAATTCTATTTTCCCATATTATTAAGAAAACTCTGTTTTAATCCCAATACAATTTTAAAATTTAGTTTTTGAAATTATGCACTTAAATATTCAAATTACTTTAGAGTACTTAAAAGCTTTTCCTGTAATATGCCTTCTGTTTGGAAATTTTGTCACATTTTACCCTAAAAGTACTATGTGGGGGGTAATTATTTTTAGTACTCTAATTTTATTTAAGATTTTGAAAATGGCTTATCCTAAGGAAATGCAAAATCCCAATACTTGAAGGTTAAAATATTTTCTTATAACTATTACACTTGATGATATCAGAAGTTAGCTTGAGACTATTATAATGCTCCATCAAATTAACATATTGGTAAGATAAGAAGTATAAAAAATTAAATAAAATTGAATTTGATGTATGAAAATTTATTCAGCTGCACAATCTATTGTTGCATATTTTAGTTTAATATTTAAAAATATATAATTTTACTTTAATTGAAAAGTCCAGTTTGTCAGCTACTATATGCCTTATTAGAGTGCTATTTAAGCACATACAGCTTCTTACATTTTTAAAGTAAAAATAAGATCTTAGAATGTGATTTCTAACTGGGGTGCTGAATACAGGTGTGCCACAAGAATTTTTAAACATGTGATACCTGACTACGTAGTCAAAAGCATGGATCTCTTTTCCCTTAGATTGCCAAATTAAAAAAAAATGACAACAGCCAACACAACAATAGTGGTCTAGTGTGAATGAATTAAAATGATAGCTATATTTCGTCAGATCAACAAAATACTTTTTTTTTGGTGTGCTGCAGAATTTTAGCAATTAGTTTGTATGGGCCATGAGATGAAAAAGCTTGAACAGATTAAGCTGCCTTAGAATAGATTAAGTAGATATTTATTACTTGTTTTGACAGGTTGCTTATCTGAATTTAATAATGATTATGGAAGTTGCTCAAGGAGAGTACGTCATAGTTATTGTATCTTCTGTGTCTAGCACAACAAATATTTTTTGGATGAATTAATAATTTATTGTTTTAAACACAGGGATATTTTCTATAGGCCTAAAACATATAATGCTAAAATAATTATATTATTCATATTTTACCATGTATTTTTTATTCTTTTTAAAAGACTTATCATATAGCCTTGTCAAAGGATTGCAGCCTAAATCTGGAAGCAACCTAAGTGCCCATCAGTAAATGAGTGGATCAAAAAACTATGGTACATTTACACAATGGAATACTACACAGCGAAAGAAAGAAAGAACTACAGCATGGATGGAACTGGAGAGCATTATGTTAAGTGAAATAAGCCAGGGGGTGAAAGACAAGTATCATATGATCTCACCTATAAGTGGAACCTAACCAACAAAACAAACAAGCAAGGAAAATATTACCAGCAACACTGAAAGAAAAAAGAAACCAACAGAATCAGTAGGGGAAGTGGGGGGAGGGGAAGGGAAAGGAAGGGAAGGGTCAGGTAAAAAAAAAAGAGGATCGTTATTATCTGAGGAGATAATTTCTAGTGCTGCCTTTTCATACGCTGTCTTAGTCCATATCATGTGATTTAGGATTACAATTGAAAGTCAAACAAGGAGCACTTCCAATATATTTTCTCCTAAAATGAACATGTGAAAAAGGTTTTTCATACTTCTGTAATCTAATCTAACCATATGTTTTTATTCTGATAAAGAGGTAATGAAGATAATGATATTAGAAACCATCATATAAATTCATCAATAAACTAAATGGTAAGTTAATGGCATAAACATGAATACAAATTCTATATAATTCAGTTATATATTCTCTAGATGAAACCTCAAACTTAAGAGAGTAGAGGAAGATATATTTATCTATCAAGACCATCCCTGACTTTCATCTGCTTATACAAATTTGGTCTACTGTGCCCTCTAATTTTTATCTCAACTGCAAACACTAGGCTTTGCCTGGTTTCTCAGGTCTGGAATTGCTGATGCTAATAATAGCTGGCATTTATTTAGCTGTGTGTATAAATGATCTCTTTTAATTCTATGATGTAGATGCTATTTTATCCCTATTTTACACATAATGAAATGGGAAATACAGAAAGTTTAAATAATCTGCCTCAGGTCAGCTAGCATATGATAGGATTTGAAACCAGGCAGCCTGCTTAATTAATACTTTCAATACTACATTTTATTCCCTTACTTAGGGCAGGCATCCTCGCTTGCTCTTCCAAGTTCTCATGGGCTGGAATTCTGCTTCTGTCTATACCTGAGTAAACCTCACATGCTTCCAAGCAAGTGTTCAATTTGCCCCTACTTGACTGCTGGATTCTTGCCTACTGTGTATGGACATGAGGATTTAGATGCTCTGCCTGATGAAATATTTTCGTATTATTCATCACTTCCTAGTGTATGTCCCTGCCTGCCTTTTTTTTTTTTTTTTTTTTTTTTGGCCCCCAGACTCTCTCTATAGCGTGACTCGATTGTATGCTTATTGAACTTCAAGATTATTAAAGAAGGTCAAAGAACTTCTACGATAACATGGCATGAGATACTGAGTCACATTGGGAGGAAGGAAGGAAAACTGAGAAATATTTTGTGGTTAAAACTCAACAAATTTCAGTGTCATACTAGATGCAGAGTCAAATTTTATGGTGACTTAAATGGAGATTCCAAAATTACAAGCCTCATACTTGCCTGGCCGGGGAGATACCATGGTCACGAATGTGGTTTTCCCAGGGCGCGGCTTATAGATTGCACTCCGGATGTGTTGACCCCTGCAAGTTCCTCAAATGTGGGAAACTTGACTGTATAATTTGTGGTATTCAGAGGTTGTGTTTGCCCTCTCCTCTGGCCAAAAATGAATGAATGAATGAAGAATGAATGTGAGCTTTAGTTACTGGGAGGATGGATGTGTCATACAGAAAAAATGGACACTGAAAGAAGTTATGAATAAAAAGAAAACAATTATGATTTTGCCTACAGACCGAGAAGAAACATACAGAGATATATCTTGAATTACCATGTCTACATATTTATTTGATCATTATTCATGATACCATATATTTTTTTTTACTTTTAAAACATCTCATAATGGCATATAGTAGAATCTCAGTAAGTCGCAGTAAGAAGTACATAGTAGGTGTTTAACTCTTTGTTTCTCCTCTTCCTGTTATTTACTTCAAATGTCCTCTAGTTTCTTCACAGGTGATCCTTCTTAGCACTTAACTCTTTCTTTATTTCCCTTGTGCAAAATAAATCTTGTATATTTGATCAAGCCATTTGCTCATACTTTTACTTCCTAATGTAGCTCATAAAACAACATTTAAAACTAAATTGACATCTACCTTCTTTAATAACAATACTGGTTTGATTTGTACAAAATTACACTGAAGTACACCTTTACTTTTTACACTAAAGTCTGCTGTGATTTGTCTTATTTATTCAGTAAGGCTTCAAAGAGTACAGACTCAGTTTTCTTCTTACAAGGTTCATGTTAAGTAATATACTTTCATCACCCAATATATATATATGTTCTGTGAAAAAGATAAAATTCTTAATTCAGTCCTTCCTTTGCATTGTTTATATAGAGAGAAAAGGGAGGGGAATGGCTACAAATGGCAACAATTTTAAAAATAGTGATATGTGAACATATTAGGCAAGGTGTAATTTTGATGACTAGGTGTTAGAAAGGCTGAAGGACTAGTCCGTATATTGGATTCGTGGAAGAGAAAAAGAGCCAAAGCAAAACTGTGATGACTCTTCATATTTCTATGACATCTTGGCATAGCCATTTCCATGACAAAGACAAGTAGCATGACCTGGTCTGTCTGTGTCAACAGAGAAGGGATGTATACTTCTCTCACACAAGGCAGTACAAGGAGCATTGCAGCAAGAGGGAGTTTATGACCTTTTTCAGAGAATATTGTGAATAGCAGCAAATAGTGATAAACTATACCACAGTGTGCATTGTAATAAAGTAATCAGATTTGTATTCCTGTTCTAAGCAAAACCAGTCACTATAATATGTTGTCATTATATATAAATTCAGGTCTTTGCAACTCATAAAGATTATACAGATAATGTATAATATGGGTATTTAATATATCATATACAGTTCTTGTGACTAATATTTTGATCTCTGACTTCAGAATCTCATACTATAAATACTCATCTCAGAGAAATGCTCTTATGCATATACATGTACATTCTGCATTATAATTTCAGGGGATTCTGGAACTTTCTAAATGCCACCTATGGACCACTTAGAACTCTATTGACTTCAAAGACAAGAAATCTATTATGTCTTTTCAGCTTGCTTCTGTCTTTTTCACACCATTAGCAACCCCATTTCTTGGACAGCCACAGTTTCAACCTGTAATCTCCTTAAGCCAATATGATTTGCCATCTGCAATTATCACTTCGGCAAAACTTCCTTTGCTAAATATTCTAGTAATATCTTGTTGCTAAATCCACTGGATGCTTTCCCTTTTTTATCTTACTTGATTTTTCAGGAATATCTTGCAGTGGTAACCTCCCCTCCACCAATTCTTGCAATGTTTATTCTCTTTTCTTGGTGTGTATCTGTAACATATATCCTCCGAATTTCCTTCCCTTGTCTGCCTATTTCTTGTTAGAACCAGGTCTTAAGTGTTAGTGTTCATTGAGGTTCTGTAATTCCGCCCTCATTGTCAATGTTTATTTCCATGGCTTCAAATGCCAGTAATAATATCCAAATATTTATCATCAGCCCAGATTTCTCTGTGGATAAATACAGCATTAACTCCTTTTGAATACCTCTAAGGGGATGGCTCACAGTCAGATAATAAGATTCAACATGATCAAACAAATTCATTTTCTTTGAACCCAAGCATAATCCTGCCTGTTTCATATCCCACTGAAGTGTGGTTCAGTCTTCATAGCCTACTTTTAACTTTCTTATCTCCCAATGTTTATTGTATCTTTTCCAAAATATGTTCTACCTTTTCTTTATTTAAAACTTTCCTAGGCTTCTTATTACCCTCAGGGTAAATTTTAAGCTCTTTAACAAGGTTTAAATGTTTTTTCATGTATGGTCTTAGATTTCCATTCTCTTTCACTCTAAGTCTCTCTCACCTATATAGTAGACAAATTGACACAATCCCCTGATCCCTACGCAAGCTACAGTTTATCTACCCTTGGTTATTTGCTGTTGCTGTTATACTTTGACACCATTCATACATAGATTTACTTAGTAAACCCTTCTCATCCCTAGCTCTAATTTCCCAAAAATAGATTAGGTGGTTCTTGTCTGTGCTTCCATATCACCTTCATTATACCTCATCAGATTGTGTGACTCCTGACCCCCCACACAGCTGGTTTCTGGATGATTCATAAACATCTAGAATCATAAGTAAAGACCTTATTTACAAATGTATAAATTGTAAATTTCAATACCCAAAGACTAGTTTTATAACTTCCAAACTCTATAATTGATTGGGAAAGTAAATGAAAAAAAAAAAAACAACAACGTAGATGTGTACTGTAACAAATATTAACTAATTATGGTAAAATGTTTACAATGATAAATTTAATTACATAATATACTGCTTTGCGTAATTTCAAGATTAATCAAAGAATCATAATGAGCTTTTATTGCCAACTTGCCAGGAGTCCAGCTTCTGGTTTTCCTACACAAATCGAACCTGGGCCTGGTTGCTGTTTGGCATCATTTGGTGATAGTTGCCTGTTATAAAATATCTATAAGATTGTTTTAGGTTCTGTGGCTGAATGGGAATTCATAGATCCCAACCGACATCTACTTGGCTAGCACCTGGCTGGTTAGTATCAGGTTTTTGTTGTTTACTTGTTTTGTTTTGGACACAATTCATGGCGATAACACTGGGAAAATATTTGAAATTATAAAAAACCTAGTTTGCCTCCTCAGTTCTCAAGATAAATGATCATATGAGACATCACCTTGATAGAGTGGTGGCCTCCAAATATATTATCAGCAAGCTACATCAGAGGTCATGAAATAAAAGAGTTCATAGAACAAATTAAAATACTCAAATCATACATTTTATCAAGTCTATTTGAAAAACATAGAAGGGAAAAGAGATAGGATAAATTAACACACATATGAAAAGGTACAGTGTAGAAGGACAATACCATCTGAATCTTGGGCCATGCAATGTTCAAATGTCCTGTTCCTCTCTCTGCCACACCAAACTTCCACACTGATGGCATGGTTATAAGGGCTAGAAGTGAAGTTTGATCTAGGGGTCAACAACACATACTTGTCCTACTAGAGAGATGCAGAAACAAATACACAATATAGCTTTCTGATTACACTAGTGAACCGTTACGGGCTTCATTTGTCTCATCTAGCAGAGGACATAGAGGATTATAATTGAGGTCACCGATAGATGGTCAAAAAAAGACTTTGTGAATGAAAATTTTTCTTGTATATCAAGTGTTACCTAAACATTTACAGGCCCTTATATTTTTTTTAAGGTATATTTACATATTATAAATATGTAGTACCCAGGTGACTCATGAATATTAGTTATCTCTGCTCTTTCAGTCCCTTTCTATGTTTGACACACATATAATCTGCTGTCTAACTGCTTATCTTATACTTAATTCCCATGAATTCTACCCATGTCTAACCAACATTTTATCAGCTCCTTATATTTTTTTAAAAAGTTAAAGACTTTGCCTACATTTTTAAAACTGTAAACTGCATCTAATAAAATTGAATATTTTTAATAGCAAATATGCATTTCTCAAAGGCAGGCTGCTGTGGCTTATTGTATTTGTTGAAAGTGGCTTTAATAAAACTTTTATTAAAAGTGATTTTGGTGCTCCTTCCACTAAGAGGTAGCGGGGGAGAGGTATGTTTTTTCCCCTTGAAACTGTGAGAGCTTCTGACTGTTATCCAATAAAGGAGTATGGTGGAAGTGGCACCATGTGACTTTCAAAGCTAGGTCATAAAAAGGTGAAGTCGCTCTGCCTTGTTCGCTATTTGCTTTTGACTTCTGACTGCTCTTGAGCTGCCATGATGTTAGAAAGCCCAAACTATCCCATTTAGCAATATCATACAGAGAAGCCAAAAGACAAGAGAGAAAGAGAGAGAGAGAGAGGCAGAGACAGAGACAGAGAGACAGAAAGAGACAGACAGATCTCTCCTGGTCAGCCCTAGCTGCTGTCGCTGTCCCCACCGCTGCTCTTTATGGTCTAGCCCCTCTTACACTTACAACCACAGGATAGACTCCAAGCCAGAACTGCCTAGGCAAGCTATTATCAAATTCCTGACCACTAACACTATGATAAATAAGAAAAAGATTGTTGTTGTAAGCTTCTAAGTTTTGCAGTAATTATTATTTTTTTACTCCATGCAACACATGCCAGGACACTTGACGTTTCCTTACTTGGTCACAACCTTCCTTCCACGTCTCGCTCCTCTGTATTCATGAGATAACTTGAGTCCACCCGAGTTAAAAGTGAAGAGAAGACAAGAGCCAGTTCCTAAAGACATTATATAAGAATGTAATTGTCATTTTGAAGAGAGTTCTCTACATGACATCAGCTGTCTAAGGCTTCTTATTAAATTATTCTTATCAATTTAATGTTGAAGATGTGTCTTCTATTCAGTTTCTCTAAAACATTTATTTGTGTTCTTTATTGCTCTATGAATCTTTAAACTATGTCCAAAATAAAGATTATTTATATCAGTTTGTTTAATTTACTCTTCATGACTGCTTACACATGTTTTTGAATGGTGAACACTGATGAAAAACTAATTTTTATGTTGGTGGCCCCCCCCCAATGATTTCCTATCTGAAGAACAACAATAATCTCTTATCTCAATT